CATCAGCACCTTGGATATGTGGACTAACAGTGGTTTTATTTGTCAGCTCCCAAGTGCCGTGTGTTGTTGAAGGTAAAATTGAGTAAAATCCACTTGCCCATGGTTTTGAAACATTTTGTAGCTTCAATAACGTCGAGAATTCGTATATATAGGTTGCTTGAGTCTTTACATGAATTCGATTACAGTTAATCCTAATTATATTCTATCACTAAAAGTAAGTCTACTTTTATTGTTACATCTTACAGTGGCATTAATTCTAAGTATTTTGTTATTCATATCACTGCCTATTCGCTTTAAATTTGTATTGATCACTTTACTCTCAATAACTTTCATTACGAGGCGACATTTTATGCCGAGTTACTGAAGGCAGTGAAACAATCAGACTAAAATGCTGGAGGCTGGGCCAGATTTGGCGTGCTGTGGGCCTCCTGATCTTTCTTGAGCTTTGGCAACTTTTGACCTCATTCTCGCACCAGCGTTTCTGCATTTAATTAATGCCAACAGATTAATGCTCGTAGCTTCTGTGATACTTTCTTTGTATTTATTAGGTATATCAAAATGGTTTTGTATTTCACTCCTAGAATGTGTTTTGTTATTCGGATTGCGATATGTGCATAGGTGCATTAGTTTATATGGTTAAATTACTAATGATTGAAAGTGCAGCAAATTTATTTTTTACAATCATATCCACTTTAATTATGCCTACACATTTTTCATTATTATTTTGATAATTTGGCCTGCTTAGACGTAGTTATTTTATTATCACTTCGTTCCATCGGAATTTTACGACATATTAATACTTCGTCACACCAAACAAGTCCCTAAGTCCCTATAAGGCCTGTCTCTTATACACATCTAGATGTGTATAAGAGACAGCGGNCTCAAGTAAAGAAACATTCAACAACCAAATCAAGCGAGCGTCAAAACTCAAGTGAAGAAACATTCAACAACCAAATCAAGTGAGCGCCAGAACTCAAGTTAAGAAACACGTGCGTGACAGACGCGAGTTACAGAGCAGCTTACTGGCTGCCAGTCGTTAGGAGATAGCTGCCACCATAACTCCCGACTCATGAATATTCACTTGTTTAGTGATATTCTCACTGTTAATCATTTATTTTCTACTAATTTCGCCCTCGCTTACATGTAAAATTTCAATACGCAATTAGGAGGTTCAGAACGCTAATGGGAGACGATGACGCATATTTCCACGTACTATCCACGTTGTTGACGCGCGACGTTCACATTCGTCGGTGACGCAAGACTTCTGCGACCGAGCGCTGGTGTGCAAGGTCACGGTTAAGGTGGCGGATGACGTCGGTTAAACCTTTAATTTTACCTCTGTGTGCCTGTCATAAGAACACTTATCTTACTAATTAATTCAATTTACATGAGTTTAAATATCGTGAATGTAGAAAGATATTGACCCCGTGATTTTTTTGTATCAAACCCATCCTTTCACTTATGAAAATATTATTTAAAGCATTGCCTCTTACAACAGTTTACATGCACAGAAATTCTTGCAATAACGTAATGCAATTTATTTATGTATAAAAAATGTGAGTAATTTTCTTTGACGGAAAGCACTTGATTTTCATACCAGAAACTGTTGACAAGCACCTTGGAAATGAGGACTAACAGGAGTTTTATTTGTCAACTTCTAAGTGACGTGTGTTGTTGTAGGCAAAATTGACTTGCCGATTGTTTAGAAAGATTCTTCAGCTTCAATAATATTCAATATTTCAATAATAGTATAATAATACGTCAAGCATTCGTATAAATAGGTTACTTGAGGCTTTACATGAAATCGATGACAGTTAATTGTATTCTAACACTAAAAACAATTCTAATTTTATTTCTAAATCTTATACTGAAATTAATTCTAACTTTAGTGTTATTCGTATCCCTGCCTATTCACTTTAAATTTGTATTGATCACTTTACTCTCAATAACTTTCATCAGTTCATTAGACAGTCCATAAATGATTCAACCTTTGGTGCCTCGTAATTCTGTAAACATCACCAGGAAGGAGGCGCGAGCGTCGCCTCCTTCAGTCCGTTCAATATAATAATTACGGTTGTCCAACCCGCCAGTTTTTGCTCAATAATTCTCAGCCCGTGTAGGATTTTCATCCAATTTAAGTATTCCTTTTCAAGCTTTGAAGGCTCGTTGTTTGAATAGCATAAAGTTTACTATTGACCGAATAATATGCTCGTAGCCCATTATATTATTTTGCGTTATTTTTTTCATTTGTGCTTTTTTTATATCCCACTCATGGGGCTTAGTAGTTTATTTTGCCAGTGGCTCGTGCCAGCAGTAGGTCTCAAGTTCGGTTCTCGGCGTGATAAAAAATATATAACCGTTGATAACCGGCTCTTTGTAATTACCTTTTTTTGAAGTCATTTGGTGTATAACACATCAAGTTACAGGCTTGAAAACGTTCGGCTTGAAAACGTTAATAAAATCCCAGAAAACTCACATTTTCACATGCCTGCCATTTATTCTTTTAGTCGTTCTCATCTGTGTGCACCTTCAAGCTGTCACTTCGTGGTTCTAGCACCCGCTCACCCATGGCCATGCACCCAATAACTTAACCTACCACCTATCGAGCGGAGACCCGCTCACCCATCCACTGACCAGGCACCCAACAACTTAACCTACCACCTATCGAGCGGAACTACGCTCACCCATCCACTGGCCATGCACCCAACAACTTAACCTACCACCTATCTAGCGGTGACCCGCTCGCCCATCCACTGGCTATGCACCCAACAACTTAACCTACCACCTATCGAGCGGAGACCGCTCACCCATCCACTGGCCCTGCACCCAACTACTTAACCTGCCACCTATCGAGCGGAGAGTTGAACCTTGCAGTCGGCGGTCCCCACGAATCCTTTCTTGCGCTGCACAAAGGAAGTGCACTGGGAAACATTAACTGCAAACTGCGATGTTTGTGCCCGGCCGCCGGAACATCAATCTGCCTTTGAATCTCTGCAGCACGGCGCCCATTAGAGCCTGCCGGAAGCCTGGCTTGGCTATAAATTGAACATCTCAATTAAATCTGTGTGGACGCTAGTGTACTGAACTGAGGTCTGCCTTACTAATGATGATATTGGCTCTTGCAAATTGTTTCCGACCCCTGGTTTGTTTAAAGTTACGAATGGCTGCAAAAGTTAATCGTCTATTAGCAGTATAGCTGTATAGCTACAAAGAAAGATGGAGGTCTTTTAATTCACCCTCTCAGAAATCGAAATCACTAACTTTTTCTGTCCTATTTCACCATACCAGTATATAGAGTTCCTTCTGTAATTTCTTCTAACTTTCTTCTAATCAAATAAGTATCAATATTAACTACCTTCTTCCTTTAAATTGCTAGACAACCATTTTAGCTACATCTATCCTCTAATTTTCTAAACATCCATATAAATAACTTCTATCCTTTAAATTACTAAATATCCAAACTAAAAATCTCTATCCTCTAACTTCCTAAGCAACCATATTTACTACCTCTACCCTCTAATAGGCAAAAAATTTATCTTAACTGATGGTCCCCTTTGTATTTTGTTCTCGGTATAACTGGTTCCTCGTAGTGAAATATAAGAATCCTACGCTCGAATCAATTTTTTGACATTGCTACATTCATTAGAATTAATATAGTTTTTATTTATTAAATTAATTTTTAGATTAGATTGGCAGCTACACACTTCAAAAGAATTTTGAAGAAGTCCTGCATTAGAAGAAAATCGGGATTTACCATTTTCCATTTTTAGCGCATTTTCTCATTTATGGAAAAAAGGCACTATTGTGCTCGCCATGTCCGTCTGTCCGTCCGTTTGTCTGTCTGTCCGTCCCTGACTTCACGTTTTCGTCGACGAGAAAATGCGCTCTCTGTTACTCACTGCAGTGAGTACTGAGTTATATTTTTTTAGAGAAGAACTAGTCCAAAATTAGGGTAACATTTATATGCCTATATATTACAATTTTTTAATGACATTTTTGTCTTTGCTGTGTTGTGAATGCTATGCGAAAACAATTAAATTTAAACTTTGTACAAATAAAAAAATCCGCGTAGCAGCGTTTCGATGCTAAAGAAATGTCTCGTCTTCATCGTGAATTTGCATTTTTCTGTCTATAATTAATACAGACAATATTAAGCGTGGAATAATTAAAATTTTTATACATTTCAGCCATGGAGATTTGCTTTGTTTATTTAAGGGGCAAATAAAAATATGCCATTTTTTGACGTACCGACATTCAAGCAAGATAATGAGCCTTGTCACCTCAGCGAGACCAGCCCGTTGCCTACTCCCGGGATGCAGATTTGAAGTCAGCTAGTGGCGGACTATGTTGGAGGTGGAACTGTTATCCTTATTGCTGTATGGTGAGGTCCTTAGGTCCTTATGGAGGTCCTTAAGGTTATCCTTATCCTTCGTGAGTTGACACGAAGGGGGAGGTATGGTGGATGCTCATTGGGAGGTATGGTGAGACGCTCATTGGGAGGTATGGTGAGACGATCATTGCATGGGAGGTATGGTGAGACGCTCATTGGGAGGTATGGTGAGACGCTCATTGGGAGNTCATCATCATATCTTACCCTGCGCAATCTACATCTTACTCCGATCTTACCCTGCGTAGCTTGCCTGTTTACACCGATCTGTTCGATCGACAGTCATTACTGTGATACAAAGTTAGCATTATATTTAATTGGTGAACATCGCTCTAGCCAACACTTCTACTTATTTGTTCTTTCACGTCTTGCGTGGGTAAATTGTCTTGCGTTTATCGTCCTTTCAATATAACCAGTGCAGCCAAAGCCATTTAATGACAAAGCTTTGAGATATTTTCTTGAGCAGATCTCACTTATCACTTGCTTGTAATAGGCCCAGTTGTCAATATTCTTGTGCTTGGATGTATATTTTCAATTCGTATTGTTGAAACTTCTGTTACTTTTATCTTCAGTTTCAGCTTACCATGTTTCATGATTCATTTCTGTGTTGCAGGCTGTGGGGCGGCGACGCTGCATACCTGCTGAGCCGCAGCGTGAAAAGCTTCAGTCTACTCCTCGCGCTGTGATGCTCCAATGATTTAGAAAGGAACTGCACAGCTTTGGTTTCCTGGGCAATAAATGATCTGCAATGTGGGAGTGATTGCTGCAATCGCCGTGAAATTTCCTGTCCTGAACTCACGGTTGAACATTTATTTGCAATTACAAAGAAAACATAATCAAGTGTCGGCAAATTAGTTGATAAAGATACCAAATTACAGAAGCTGTTTCTGTTCAAACTTAACGCAGATAACGTTGAGGACCGAGCAGACCAATAGCCTGTCGCCCAGCGTCACGTCTTCGGACTCCGCAAGAATCTCCCATGAAATTAACAATTCTACAGTTAACGCCTCGAGTGTCCTGAAGAGTCGTTGATGATCTCGTCCTGGCAGCGATGAGTTCCAGCGACGTAGCTGCGGTTGTTGGTGCCGTGACGTGGCGGGATGATGGATCGTACGTCAAAGAAGTCGTTAACAGAGGTCACTTGCCTCAGCTTGCTAAGGTCATCAAGGGACAATACTTGTCCGTAGGAGTACCTAGCTTGGCCAATCCAAGTTTATCCTCTACCTTACTCCTATCATCTGCAGGTAAGAATGTCAGAGTGGCCGCGCAATCCGTCAAATTCAAGGAAGGTCGCCGGGTGGTGCCTGTTGGTCCAAAGCTTGCCATACCGGACACCTTTGATGGATATTTCGAGATACTCAGCGAAGATGGACGTGCTGTGAAGTGCATCGAGAGCGTTGCTGAGCTCGCCAAAAGGTTCCCTGACTCATGCCTGGTAAGGGAGACAGTCAAGGCTTACGTGTCTCGCTCCGATGACGTGGACTTCATAACGGAAAAATCGCGGTCGGTTCAAGCGGGTGAAACTTTGGTGCTTGTTGGTGACGTGGTGAACACGAAATCTGGAAAACCTCAGCTCAAGTACCTTCGTTGTTTCGATGAAGCGGGTCAAAATATATACCTTCCGTACGATGCCAAAGGAAAGTTTTCAGCGATCGCTAAGGAAGACAACATCAGTGGGGTGCATAGCATTAGAAACTTGCTCAACAAACGACTACCGTTGATGGTACGCCTAATCAACGGTCGACTGCCTCTTGGAATTAAAACAGCATCGCAGTTCCATCCTGAACTACGACTATTCGGAACTTTCACTGAAGAAGCTCTGGCTGCTCTTCCTCTTGGAAAAGACGCTCCGATGACCATCCTACCTCCCTCGGCTCCTCTCAAGCTCACTCAGGTCAAGAACGCCGAGCAAGTAGAAAAGACAAAAGAATTCTATAGAATATGTGAAAAGGCAAATAATTTATTACAGGAGATATCAGACAGAATTTTAGTATACGATGTTTCCATGAGAGGCGGTAAATATAATTCAGGTTCAAGAGACCCAAGGTTTTGCAACGCTGATATCGTCAAGCCTCGTAAATATTTACACTGCAATAGCAGCCGAGCATTGCGATCCAAAAGCACGCCTGCCACCCCTGTCCAGCTTAAAGCCTTTCACGAGAATAAATCCGACGATATCAAAATGAATGGAGCTCTCCCTAAGGATGACTACGACGAGATAGACCAAATTTATGACTACGTTCGAGGTTTCGCTCCCTTGCCAAAACACATCCGCTCCCCCTTTGCTAACAAAGATGATCCTCAGCTTAAAAGAAGCGTTCTTACGGAAGCTCGTCCCGCTCCCCCTCCCATAGAAACAATTCCTTCAAGACGAGACTTTCGTTCTTCAGAGAAACTCTCGCCTTCCATTCATCCGGCGCTAATTTCAGCCGCTCTCGAAAAAGCCGAAAGAAGAGTAGAAAAACGAACCAGGAAGAGCGACGAAAAGAATAACATAGTTTCCCATCTACAGCACCACCCATTGCAGCATCAAATGACGCCTTCTATTTCTGTTCCTTCCAATAAAAATTGCTCCAAACTGTTCATTAAAGCTAGCCAACAGAAGTCCAACAAGTCTCATATGTTCCGACAAAAATCTTGCTCTCCGGTGAAGGAGAGTTTGTGCGACGGTATGCCCCCGACGGTCAGTACATCTCCATCTTCATTATTCAAACTGCGCTATAAGTCTTTAACTAATCTCGCGATGGATCTCGACACTCTGGATTCAAGTACTTCATGCGGCAAGAATTCAGCAGATTCTAGCGGGTCTGCGGCCATGAAGGCGCGATTACCTGAGAAGAAATGCCGGCGACTGACACGCCCCACGAGCCTGACGAACCTCGTGTGGGACAGTCGCTGTAGTCCCGTCTGCCACAACCCCCCAGACGTCGTGGACGGCGGTGCCGCGCGGGCCATCGTGGAGATCGAGAGGAGACTTCGTCTGGAGCCTGGCGTGTACCGCCACGGCAGAGACGCTCCTGCCCTCATCGCTGCCACCACGCGGCTCTTGGCCTCCCATAACAAGATAGGCACATTGTACTTGTGAGACGTGAGTACATCTGTTGTACTTGTGAGACGTGAGTACATCTATTGGGTTCTCAAAGGTACTCATCTATTTAAATTTGCATATTTGCATAAATCAAATCTAGTTCCTTATTAATAACTTCCTTTCAGTGTAAAAAAAGCGTGATTCGCATTCTTTTATACATACCATATTTTCAAACTATAGCGTTTTTATGTCAATGCCCATAGCATCGTCATATGTCAATATCATACTGATGGGAAGCCCAAAACCACTAAGATATTCAAGATAATAGATTGTCACTTTCTCATAGTTGTATCTGAACCCAAATAAGATTGATGTGCCTAGCGCGCTGCAGGCTAAAGAACCCAGAGGTTTCCTGTTCAGTTTTGGCGCTCTTGCTTCGCTTTCGAAAGCTGCGCACGACGGCGGGGCGTGACGTGAGCGCCCATCTTAGTCCTGCGCATAAATGGGCGTGTTGCGTCCGTGCACCTCGAACTCTTCCTCTTTACAGCTGGGGAGCGCATCAGTAGGACATGCACCTCGAACTCTTCCTCTTTACAGCTGGGGAGAGCATCAGTGGGACATGCACCTCGAACTCTTCCTCTTTACAGCTGGGGAGCGCATCAGTGTCGCTCACAAATAAGAGATTTGTAAGTTGCACTTTTTCAAAATTTGCTCGTTTCGAATGATATTTAAGATGCACCAACCGTCAAGCCTATTGCATGCGCACTATCTACGAGCGAACTGGACCTGATTAAATGGTTGCAATACAGAAGACATAGTGATTATATGATTATATTCACAATTTTGGCACGCGCGCTCTCACTATACATATAGCATTGCAACGTCTCACAATTCTTGATTATTTATCATGTGCAACTTTCGATGATCGCGTTGAATTGTTCACACTCTTGCAGTCTCTTTGTTGACTCAAGACGCAAACATAAATAGAAGAGTTCCCGTTACATGCGCTGATTACGCAACGTTCATTGCGAGCTCGCAGCTCAGCTGTGCCCTTTTAATGTCAGATTGTTTTTATATGCAAAGGCTAATGCATTCGAAGGATATTTCCGACGATACATTGATAGATTTTGTGTCCTGAATATTTAAATTTAAGTTGAAAAATATACCGAGCAAAGAAGAGTATAGACTAGAATGCTCCTGCATTTATAGTTTCATCAAATTACCGAAAGAATCGTGAGCCTTATTTTGCCTTAATCTGATAAGACTTCGTTGGTATTTTCAATTTCTTTTCCCCCATCTTGACTACATCGATTGTTTGCGGCTCACCACCGTCCATGGTGCAGACTGCTGCTCACCACCGTCCATGTGGTGCAGACTGCTGCTCACCACCGTCCATGGGGTGCAGACTGCTGCTCACCAATTTCGTGGAGGTCGACTTTCCTCTTCGACCTGCGCTGTTGTCCAGCGTTCGGTGAAAGTTTGATATTTCCCCCCGGCCTCAATGACGGCTTCTTCACCTCGAAGCAATTATCGCCTTCCTTTATTACTCGTAATCATCAGAATAAAAATGGGTCACGTGAAATGTTTCCTAACTTGCCGAATAAAGCCTTATATAATTTCAAGTCAAATTAGTTTTATTCACTATCTAACCCTCGTAAATGTGCCTGGAGATTCACTTGTCTTTACAAGTCTTCACTGAGCTGCAGGAGCGCGAGTGTGAAGACTCACTCTAGACGATGACGGCCTCAGGCGAGGCTCTTCGTGAGCTTGCGGGGGGTTGCATGGCCCGGCCTCACATTCATGGCGTTTCTGCACGACTATTCGCCGTTTTTATTCCAGTAGCTTTGAATTATCTACATATTAATTGCGAGACAAACGTGCTGGAACATATAATTGTGTCCATACCCTGCACATGACATCAAGTGCAAGTGGTCGATAAACGATGTTTTATTAGATTGATTTTCCATAATAGATCAGCATTAACCCTCTATCGCCGTATGTCACCTTCCGGGAACATAACTTTCAACTAAAATTACACGTACAGTATAATAGTAGCCAAATGAGGACTTTATTCGCAACAGAGAACATTTTAAAGTTTCCGTACGTGGCGGCAACCATCAGTGCAAGTCATTTTGCGCTCACTAGAACGTATTTTTTTTTTTTTGGGAAGTAGGCTTGTGAAAATATTGCTCCGGTTACTCATGTCAGGCTGTAGAAGGTTAATGAAATTGAGCGCTGTTTACGACGCCAATGATTAAATATACATACTGAATTTTTCAACAAACGCGGTGTTTAAATCATGCATCAAAATGCATACAACTATTTAAATAATAACACAGGAAGTGTACAAAATTTGACGGACTGAAATTTAGGCTGAAACAAAGCGCCGGAGTACGCGTCACTTTCACTGGTGCAATTCGCGGCGCACCGCAGCGGCTACGGTGTTCCCACGTCCTACAGCTTCCCTGCTCAGCGGCCAGTTGCGACAACGACTTTCTGATGGCATGATATTTCATCAACTTATATGTATCTTCAAATTTAAAATTATTTAGCGACAACTTTCTGATGGGATGATATTTCATCAACGCTTCTCTATTTTTGAAATTTTAAGTTATTTAATTCTTTACCTGTTGCACAACCCCGATGTGTTGTTCTACAACGTGGCTTCGTTTAATTGCCGTCGCATTCGCTTCAGTTATATAGAAGCGAATCAAACAAAAGATGATAACAAAGATTGTATATACTGTGACGAATCGGAGAACTTGGCTACCGTTAAGCTCTGCTCTGTACTAAGTACTTGTGACACGAGCTCTTCATCAGTGATGTGCATGATGAAAAAATGCTGATTTATATGTCATTTAAATATGTGAGCTCTGTGCTAAAGAACTTGCTTCATTATGTGTTGCTGTAGAGTGTAGATCATCGTTAAACAATGAAAAATAAGTAAAGTAACTTCACAATTACGCGAGTAAAACAAGCCACAAATATTCTCGAACCTCCGTAAATGATGAGGAGGCCAGTAATGCTGCACAACCTGCACATTATTCAGGCCGTGCAATTTAGGAAAGAAACTTCGGCCATGACTGACTGTTGCCATGGACGTTTCGCCACATCATTTGTTTCTTTGCAATTATCAACTTTTTTACCAATTTTACTTAAAAATATTTGGCTGATTCCAACATCTGAGGCCACTTGCTTTTAATACGAGTAGTATGGTAATATAGTTTGAAGTATTACTAGTTGGGGACTGTCCGTTCAAATTTTGCTCGTTGCAATGACGCAAAATACTCATAAATTCTGGAATTTAAGAAATGTGCCCAACCGCTCTTGCATGTCGCCCAAAATACTGTCATTTCTTTTATGACACGCAGATTGTATGTAGTTTGTGTAGTTCTGCTAAGTGTATGTGCTCAGATGTAGACTGCCCTTCATGGCTAACCAAAAACTAAAAACGAAACAGAAATATTACAGTTTCATCGTAATTCATTTTTCTTGCAGCCCTACAATTTATTTAATTACAAAAGTTCTTATTTGCTTCAGTTTCAGTTCTAGTAAGACAGTAAAATCCACAGCTTCAGGCTTGATTGATTGCCTAATTCCTTCGTCTATATAGGATATATAGAAGGATATAGGAGGTCGGCTGAGAAAACCGGTTCCTTGAATATACGAATCTGGGCCTATACTTTCAAAAAAAGTTAAGAGATCGTAAGTTCATCAGCCAATCATTGACGGCCTTTCATGCAAAATCCACCAATCATAGACAAGAAACTGCCCTTCATGGCTAACCAAAAACTAAAAACGAAACAGAAATATTACAGTTTCATCGTAATTCATTTTTCTTGCAGCCCTACAATTTATTTAAATACAAAAGTTCTTATTTGCTTCAGCTTCAGTTCTACTAAGACAGAAAAATCCACATGAGCTTCAGGCCTGATTGATTGCCTAATTCATTCGTCTATATAGGATATATAGAAGGATATAGGAGGTCGGCTGAGAAAACCGGTTCCTTGAATATACGAAGCTGCTCGGAGCTTCTGTGTTCTAACTAATGGTAACTTTTGAGACTTCTAGACTGCAACCTTTATTTAAAAGCGGCAAATTTGATTGAGGTATGATGAAATGGGACAAAAAAATGTAAACCGAAAATAACACGATAAATGTCCTTTTTAAAATACGAAATGCTTGTTAAAACTAAGCATAACATCCTTGGTTACATTGTTAAGTACCTAAAAAAAGATTACAACTGTTCCATGGACTAGAATTTTAGTAGTAAAAAACTAAAAATGCAAAATAAATAAAATGTCCCAGAGTACGACGGGTCCGGACATTGGGGGACAGTCCGTGGGGTACTTTGGGACACTTCACCTCTAAGGAGGTAATATCAAAATTATTGTCAAATTTCAGGTTTGCGTTTCATCTTTTTGTTGTTACGCATTTATTAGGGTTACTAAGAATGATTTCAATATGTAATCCCAAACAGATTGATACAAGATCTGCAGCATCAGGAAATACGAAATGTTCCGATTTTTCTCTACGACCCAAGTGACATACTTCATTTTCGTCATTTTAGTCTTTTGGCTTTGTTATCAAGCCCAAATAATGTATTTTCGGCTTAGTGAAAGCAAATTCTACAAGAATGTAGGTACTCATAAGGCTTTGCTTTTCTCTGCATTGATTAGACAGATTTTTAGAATTTTTCCTAACAGTAATTTTTCATCTATTGCTTCTAATTGATAATGTAATATACGCAAATATTATTATGATGAAGATGACGAACAGCCTGGTAGCTCGTTCACTGAATATTTGGCGGGGAACGATGAGTTTCATCCTCCTATGGAAGGTCCTGCGTTGTAGATTTGGGAGCTCCCAGGACGTGGATACTGTCCCAGTGAGCCCCAAAAAATTTTAGAACCATTCGGTTACCATTTTAATATTGATGAACCAAGTTACTGTTAATCTTAATTCGTCAATTTTGAACACATTATCTAATAATTAATCACACAGTAAAGCTTTAGTTCACAAAATATGCCCTCTTACTTCATTTAATATACATGATGAAA